TTGCTCAACATCATGAAAATTAAACCTTATTTTTAATAAGCAATCCTGAAAAATATTTGGGGGTGCTTAACTTTTTTCCAGGTGTATATATAAACATTTCAACATAAGTTTCATAGCTTAAATTTTATCTCATCATATAACCTATCAAAAGTCATTGATTTAAAAGTGAACAAGAGATGTTATTGAGACAGTATCACCTAGGGCTAAATATTTTGAAATATTCTCATTAATCCTGACAATCGGACACTTACCAACTTTTCATTTTTCTTTTCTTGTTGCTCACACAGTCTATCTAGTCGAGCAACTTCACCTTCCAATGTCTGAGCCTACAGTGGATAAGTTTTGTTTTGTTTATATGTCACATATACTTTGATATCTAAACATGTACCAAAACAACATTAATATAAAAGTACTGGTCAAAATGCCTTGTGTTAAGCTTCAAACATCATCTAATCAAAATATTCCTTCATAGAGAAAACACCTAATAAAATTACTGTTTGTATGGAACTCATCAATATTGTTCTCACACATAAGAACTGAAGTTATATTTGATACCAAATGTTTAACCTTGACATTAGCATCAGTTCACTGATAAGGAGATACAACACACCCATAAGATAAATTTTAGTATTTTGAAAGTTAGCCTAATGAACCATGGTATTGGGCAAAAGGCTTTGTCGACACTTAATATCGCAAATATATTGTGGTTGACATATTATAGCATGTTCTTCTTTACTTTCAATTTACTTTCTTTTACTCAAGAAACAAGTGTAATACCTTAATCATTAAGTACAGTAGTACTTAATAGTAGGGATTATGATGAAACAAAATGATGACCATAAAGATTGCCCATTTAAAACCACCATTAAAATATCTGAATATTAACAATGTCTATTTCACAGTATTGACTGAGCAAAACTAAAGCTTATTGTACTTATAAAGCCACCTATATCGCTATATATGTGTTTATAGAGTGAATCAATCACTACTTCAACTAATCTTCATCTAAGCCTACAGAAAAAATTATGAACCTTATTGCTCTAATTCTTTCACAGAACTTGTCCGTCTAGGATTTCAATGATAAAACGGACAATGTGCTACTTTGGGCATATACTTAGATATGAGGGTAGGTTAGTAGATATCCTAATGAGTAATAAAATCAAACTGAATATATGCGCACCCCCATTGCTAATAAAAACTTAACAAACAAGTATTATAAAAAAACTTAAAGTTTATAAAGACGAGTAGGAATATATATACGTAGCCTATCTAGCTGTAGTAACATAGAAAGTTTTAATGCTACAAAGAGTATTGAAACAAGAGATTCAAAACTAAAACAAAATGAATTACTTAGGGTTTAAAATTTTTTATCCCTACTTTAGCTTAGACTAACATAATTACAGTGATTTGCCAAAGTAGAGATAAATGTTTTGAAATTTTAAGTAATTCAATTTTGAAGTTTTGACTTTCTTGTTGTATTACTTATTTTCACGTTTCTTTAAAATGGCAAAATTAATTTTACTAAATCTTTGTAAACTTCATAGGAACAGTGTTGATGCCTACTTCATTCAATACTCTAAGAACTAATAAAAAATTATACGTGATTGTAATAAAGCTATGCCGCGACCTTTACCCTTGCCTAAGAGCAAAAAAAGTTCAACGGGAAAAACTTTCAAATTCTCTTTTTATATGTAAAATTTAAATACACATTTTTAAAAGGATAGTGATCTTGATACATATTAACTAACTTTACCAAGACCAAGGAAAATGAAGATGGTCATGCTATTCTATGACATTCTTTGATGATTCTGTTTTAGCATGTCCTACCACCAAATGACAAAAAATGATTTTTGGCTAAAATGGCTGACTAGGAAAATTAAAAAAAACTTCTATTTATTATCACACTGAAAAAAAAAAACAGCAACAACAAAATAAAAACAAGCAAGACAGAATCATACAGCACCGAAGATCCGACTGTTCAGTATATTAAACCTAACGTCAACTTGGTTTCCACTTCTACAAGAAATAAAAACCTGGATTTGTTAAAACACTATCTGCAACTATTTATATTATTGGTATAAAAGACTGCAACATTCTGGATTCTGGAGAATAAAATTTTATCAAACAGTTAAAAAGGGATAAGGAAAAACAAATATTTATTTATTTACGATATTAAACAAAAGTAGCGATTGAAATTTTGTATTTGTGTAAACCTCCTAAGACTACCTGTCACCTTCTCTAATTTTGAGCTATTGACTAAAAGGAAGGCAGCCAATTGGCAGCACCATACCACCCATCATCCATACTAAGGAATTGACTGTCACTCTTGTCATGCACCCATAGCTGAATTGTGAATCCAAATCACCATCTATAGAAACTAACAACATCCTGTATTTACCGAGATTCAGATTCTATATGTGTATTATATACATATATATCACTTTTTAAGAAACTTTTAGACTGTGTCCAAATATTGTAATGAACCATCAACCAAGTACAATTGGTTTAGTTTCATAACAAAGTATTTATACTGTTATATTCTTTCAAGATCCTCAACAAATTCTGGATCAGAGAGAATACCTATAGCTCTAAGATACGTTAATAGCATACCATGCTGTTCATATCTTGAAATATGCCAAGTTATTAATAACAGCATTATATGTGTAATATTTTAACTGGAAAGAATTAGGGAGATTGGTGTATCACAACATCTCAATCCTACTTTCACAACAGAATCCAGGTTTGCTAATTTCTGAACATCTGGACAATTTTGTTTGACTTATAAATAAGAAAACCAGAACCAATAAATTGAATAAGATAAAACAAGAGAGTCAAAAATGATACTAAAAATTTTGATCAGTGAGAAAAACACTTATAACTGAATTGACTAGACCACACATACAAGTGTGTACATTTGTGTGTGTGTATACACACAAATGCCAAAAGAACTGGCAATTTTCTGTCTGTATTACTCAATATAATTAAGAAAATATTCAACAATTCAAAAATGATTAATTCAGCAATAACAACATTGGTAGAGTGAGTGATACCAGATGAATCAGTAAATTATTAATTGTTTCTAAGTTATAGTTAAACTGCCAATCTAATTCCATAATGTTTTTTTTTTAAATCAAGCATCTTCACAAAAGAACAGTATTAAAAAAGATATGTTAAAGTTGACAATTTGGTAAACACTGTCAGAATAACAATACCACCAACAAACACCATCAAAATAACATTACTACCAACAGTCTACATTAGTATATTTGACAAGGGGGCCTGCTGAAATTATATTATTATTATTATTTTTTTGTGGGTTATTAAACTTTTTGGCTCTACATGTTTTCTATTATCTTGAACTAAGAGTTTATAGATACACCTCACCTCAGCTGATATCTCAATTAACAAGCTACATCCGTAATCCACAGTGACTGTTGTACTAGTTTGTACATTCAGAAGGATCAGGGTAAGAGGAGCTCATTTTACTGATCACATGATATATTTATTGTGTTGTAAAGAAGTTGTCTGTATTACGTGTGTCATGCCTGGCACTGCAGCCAACAGTGTTAAGTTCGATAGTCCAAAAATAATGAAAAGATAAAATCAGTTACCTTCAAATGTCCCATGACCACATTAACCAACCCCATCTCCAAGTGGTGTAGAATGGAAAACCTAGTCTAACGGGGAGCTCTGGAAACCCAGAGAGGAGATTGGATAAACTGGGTTCACTTACCATAGAAATGCCAACACAAAATAAATACCATATCAGATTGGTTGCAGTGGAAGTTGCAATGGTTTGGACATAAAGTGTGCTTCTCAGGTCTTGTGAAAACAATAATGTAGCACACAGTTTGAGCCAATAGTAGAATAAATGTTTAAAAATATAAAAGAACAGACCAATGTTCCATTTCCCAACCTGCTTGAAATAGCTCAAGACTAAGAAAAATTGAGAGAGTTGTCATCGAAGGCAACCAAAGTGATCAAAGAAAAGATAGACAGAGATAAAAACAGATGAAAAGAAATACTAGCCCAAATAAGCCACAAACTTTTTTATGTAGCTGTCACCAAAAGCTGTATAAAGTAATTTGACTAAATGGATGTTTGTTATTCCACTTAAACGAATCTTGCACATAAAAAAGTAATGAAGTGATGTTCTATATCTTCACCGTAACACATTATATTTTAACAATCAAAAACAAAAAGATGTGAAAATTATAAAACTTTACTGCTTAACTAGGATCCTCGATTATTTGTGTGTTTAAAAACTTAGCCTTCTTACTTTGGTTTCCAAAGAGCTATGCTCAGACTGAAGTTGAACACTCTTAGCTGTCAACCGTTCTGTAAACTCCAAGAGTTCTCCTTCCTTGTTATGACATGACTCCATGTCAGTTTGGAGGTCAGCATTGGCCTGACGCAGTCTTTCAACTTCACGCTGACCAGCGGCTACCTTTTCCCTTTCACTGTAAAAATAATTCTTGAAATAAAATTACAAGACACAGAATGAGAGTCAATGTTATTAAATACCTTCAACTTCATAGCTATTTTATTCTATATATTTCATTAATAAAATATTATAATACCTTCAACTTCATAGCTATTTTATTCTATATATTTCATTAATAAAATATTATAATACCTTCAACTTCATAGCTATTTTATTCTATATATTTCATTAATAAAATATTATAATTCCTTCAACTTCATAGCCATTTTATTCTATATATTTCATTAATAAAATATTATAATACCTTCAACTTAATAGCCATTTTATATTATATATATTTCATTAATAAAATATTATAATACCTTCAACTTCACAGCCATTTTATATTATATATATTTCATTAATAAAATATTATAATACCTTCAACTTCATAGCCATTTTATACTATATATTTCATTAATAAAATATTATAATATTTTTGTTTGTAGAAAAATTTCATTACTCTTCTGAAGTAGTAAATATTTAGCTGCTCAAAAATTTGCTATAAACTTAATAACAATTGAAATAGTTATAATTTAAACAGTACATTCCATTTTAAATACACCTATCTAATTTTACACAAATTGATGTTGTAATAGATATGGAATTTTTCTACTCCAACCTCTGTGGTGAATTTGTACATTATTGTTTAAACTCACAAATATATTCAACTGATTTTAAGAAACACCCAAGAAAACTGTGAACTAGCTTTTTCATTATACTGCACTGTGACAGTGTTGTCTATTATAAAATTACATCTTACAAGTGTTAATAAGTATGTGGTAATTAAACAAGTGTGGTTCAAGCTCACTAATGTATACCTAATGATTAGTACTTGGTTACAGTAGCTAATTCTTAATATTTCTTCTTATACATAAAATGTATGTATTTGTTAACAAACAGTACATGTGTGGCGAAAGCAGTGCTACAACTAGGTTTTGGATTATATGATTCTACTCTAAGATTGAATATATATATATATATATTACTTCTAATATAACAGTGTCGTAAACCATGAAATGTAAAGTTCCATGTTTGGAACTGAATTAAGCTGTATGTTTTAAATATTGCACTTGTTAAAACTTATGAGGTTAATTGTTGGTAGACTGCATGCAGTACATGTTAACACTTCTGTTCAGGTTTTTTTTTATGTGTTGAGGTTTGAGCCACATATTAGTTTCGACTTTTTGAAATTGTTAGTATAAACATATTTTATCTACGAACGTTTCTTGTAAATGGTTTATGTTGTTGTCATAAGTGATAAATGTTGAGTTTGCATTCACTGCAAATTGTCTGATAGCTGCTGAAGTATGAGGTTGGGTTTTTATTAACACTTCTGGTACTTGTTGTATGTTATGTGTTCTAACCGAGTCTTGTAGTTGTCTAGTAACTATTAATATGTGGTTATAGTTTTAGTGTTAATATGATACAGACTGGTAAAGAATGTTCCAAAATTACTGGTGAACATTGTTTGTTGTTTGTTTTTAGCATGCAATTAAAATTCTATAAAATATTGATGTGTGTATCGCGTAAGTCCAATATGACTAACGATTGAGTTTTGGAAGTTGTGTGTTTCGTTAATAAATATTGGTAATTATTAGTGTGTGTTTGTTGTGCCTGAAGTACTGAGTGACTCAGAAGTTCACTGACAGAAATATAATTCAAAAATGGAAAGATGTATGAAATGAGGTGTTTTGGACTGTGATAATATTATTGAGGACATTCAAGGTTTTCAAACAAATATAATTTAACATCCAAAGAAAGTATTAAAAAATTCCCAGATCTGTGGCTTCCTATTAAACTTATTGTTCATCTATGCTGGAACTCTGTCTAGTCACTTTCCAATGGGACCAAAAATAACTGCTCACACCACTTTACGTTGACATAAATATTTTATAATCTGCTCTATTTATTTTCAAGGTTGTGCTTTAGTAGTCATGTTTAGATCATATTATATTTTGTTATAAGATGGTGGAATGAATATATGCAATAATAGAACCTCAAACAGAGAAATAAAATAATCTGAGAAACAAGACATAGGTAATTATATTCCCATAGAATGATAGTTTCTTGTCAAATATAAACCTATGTTATTAAGTGGGCAGAAAAAATCTAAAAAAATTCACTAAGTGCTTTGTTTACAGGTAAGACTCCTCAAGGGGTGTGCAGAAATGTGACTTGGAAAATATTTCTTTGCAAATGATATTAAATAAATGTTAAAGAATGACAAAATATCAATTCTAAAATATTTTTAATTTAAATATTGTGGAAATATAGTTAATATTATTATTTTCACTTAAATTTTGAAATGTGATATGCAGGTGTGCACTTGACTTCTGGAAGGCTTTGTGGTCCTGGTAAGGTTAAACCAAAAAATTACCTGATCTGTAAGCTTCATGCCTCTTGAAAAACATCAGTACTACTGTTCTTTACTTTTACATTACGTAAATGTTTACTGACTAAATGCAAACACTGAATTTTAAATTGCACTTTTATAGATCAAGCTGGATCAGAAAATTTAAACTGAATAACATTACGTATACACACATACAAATCAAATCATGTACCATATCTTTTACAACACAACCTTACGCTTTAATATGTAAAACAGCTTTTGCAATAAATGATCTTGGATCATTTTTAAAAAGAAACAAACTTGTATCTTAAGAGTTAAAGCAACTTTCTTACCGGTCAAGTTGGATCTGAAGATTTTCCATTTCAGCCAATTTAGCTGACAAGTCAACAATATCCTGCCTCAAAGAATTCTGGGTATCTTTCAGTTTACTCACAACTTGTTCATGTTCTAACCTCTCCTTCTCCAAGTTATGAATCTAGTAGAAATATTTATCTCTAAGTTAATTATTTCACTTATCATATTTCATTAGGCCTAAGAACTGTGTTGCACAGCAGGTTAATTTTTAATTATACACAATTATCTCATTAAGTAAATTTTAAATAAAAGAAAATATTATGATACATAATGCATTCTTACCTGACCACATGTGTTCTTATATTAAACGCAAGGCCTAGTCAACATGCCTTTTACAAGGTGTGCGGTTGATATACTATTGTGTTCTAACTGGTAACATGTAGTATAGAGTCAGTCATGAAAGATTTCTAAAAAATTACTATCACTCTAATAGTGATGTGATATGACACAACTTATTGATTAAAGAAAATTGCTGAAACTTAAGATTTTATTGTGAAACGATTACCTTCCAACTTTCCACATATTCTTTAAGTGAACGACTTGTTTCTTAAAAGTTTTCATAACTCCTTTGCCACAAAAGACAGGGAACTACCAGAATCAATTTGAGTTGGCCAAGTCAATTCATGTTTTGCAAATAAAAGTTTAAATACATTCAAACATGAAGTTTCAATTGGTAATCATAATTCCAATCAACACTTTAAAGCTACCCTTTGCAATAATGAACTGATCACAAAGAACATTATCTGCTTTTCAGTTAGATCTCCTACTGATAGCAACAAACACAAGTTACAGTTACAAATCCACAAGGTAATGGTCTTAGGTAGCAACAGGGTAAACTGAGATCACATCTAGCTGTGTTCTTGATACTGTAGTTCCATTTAATCCTCATGGTTATTTCACATGAAATATCATGAATGTTTTGAAGTTGATCCCAATTCTGATAAGTGGGATGCTTGAGTAATAATTGTTTTTTTTCCTTCCTGCTCTAAGAACGTATCATGTATTCCTATTGAGAAATAAGTTTGTCTTCTGTTAGTATCATGTATTCCTATTGAGAAATAAGTTTGTCTTCTGTTAGTATCATGTATTCCTATTGAGAAATAAGTTTGTCTTCTGTTAGTATCATGTAATCCTATTGAGAAATAAGTTTGTCTTCTGTTAGTATCATGTAATCCTATTGAGAAATAAATTTGTCTTCTGTTAGTATCATGTATTCCTATTGAGAAATAAGTTTGTCTTCTGTTAGTATCATGTAATCCTATTGAGAAATAAATTTGTCTTCTGTTAGTATCATGTATTCCTATTGAGAAATAAGTTTGTCTTCTGTTAATACTTATGTTGATATTTTATCCTCTTATTTACTGATTACTGAAAAAAATGGCATTATGGTTTTAATAATCCTAAACCACTTTTAATATTTATTCCTTAGAACTAAAGTAGAAAATAATTACACATAATAGAAAATAAATATTTAGAGATCACTGATACTTTATTTCTAAACCATTTCATTGACAGATTAACTTATTCAAAAAATTAAGTTTTCAAGGAAAAGTGTTGAAATTATCAAATAACTTTTCAGTGACATTTGTAGGTACATAAAAGGAAGTGTTCAGTGACAGACACAGGTATATGCAAGGAAGTGTTCAGTGACAGACACAGGTGTATACAAGGAAGTGTTCAGTGACAGACACAGGTATATACAAGGAAGTGTTCAGTGACAGACACAGGTATATACAAGGAAGTGTTCAGTGACAGACACAGGTATATACAAGGAAGTGTTCAGTGACATATGTAGGTATATAAAAGGAAGTGTTCAGTGACAGACACGGGTAT